TAATATGTATGGGATGTTCAGCATAACTTAAAGACTGGTGCAGTGAGAAAGCACCTCTGTTGCTCTCTCTGCAGGCTACAGAGATCAGGACTCAAAAGACACAGCTATTTATTCCATATTTTATTGTCAAGATGATGACTGTTCATGCTATTGAAGTTCTGAGAGAGAATATATTTGGGAAAAAAAAACCCAAATGTAGCAGATGTCCACTTACTGCTACACAATGTGCAAGGGAAGCTTTTCATACTGGGAATATGGCTTACAAAAATATTTCTCTGTGTCTGTGCGTCTGGACTTGACAATTTTGTGGGTTTTTCTATACATGGGGTGAAACTGAGAGGAAAGAGGAACTTGTGACCAAGGAGCCCTCTTGTCCTGCTGTGTACAGGAAGAGCAGCATGCTGTACAGGCAGAGTCCTCCTGGGTTTGAACAACATCCTAAAGGTTTTCCCAACCAAAATCACTGATGATGGCAGAGTCTTTTCCTGCCACGTGCTGTACCACCCAGAGACAGTCCAGAAGAGCAGCACCACTGTGAAAGTATTTGGTAAGGGGCTTATGCCAACTGCCTGCTGCCTTGCACTTGGACAGGTGACACTCCTGTCTGGTTCTGAAGCCAACTTTTGACAGACACTGGGGTTTTTTGAATATAAACATATTTACCTTGTTACTTTTTCAGCTGCAATGACCTAAAATGTTAGTAAATAACCCTGGAGTTCTTAGAAGAATTTGAGTCCATTCTTTCAGTTTCTGGCAGGAAAAAATAGTGAATTCATTGCACATACATCAGTCTCACTGTCATGCACATGGCAAGAATCTTACCCTGATGTGTAGCTTATGTTGGGATTTTGTGGGTCACAGGGAAGCACACTGGTCACCAAGATTTCTGTGTCCCAATGGCCATGCTGTCTGTGGTTAGGAAATCATGGCCAAAATTCAGTAAACTGTTTGGGACTGCAGTTGTAGCAAAATCACATCCTCAAAGGCATGTGAAATTCAACTGCTGCCAAAGGCTCTGGCTCTGGAAATGAGGGTCCTGTTGGGGGTCTCAAATTGGTCAGGAGTGGCAGAACCTGTGTACTGCAAACACGTGGGCTGGCATTTCACTTGTAAGCCTTCCCCATCTTTAGTTACTTGCCTTGTTCCCTTTCAAGTGTCTAGGACCTGCTCTACAATCACTAAGGTACAACTGAATCAGAAAATTGCTGCCCACTTGAAAACCAGGCTTTGTTTTCTCTTTAGAGATCAGTTGGTCTGGAAAACATATTTCCAAAGCTCCAGAAGTAAATGAGTGTTAAAGACTGGGCCTGTCAACAGTCCCTTGACTGTAGCTGATTGTCCAAGGAAGCCCACAGCTTGAGGATGGCATGGCCATTCAAGGCTGATGCTCTGAATTCAAAGAAAGGTTCAACAGGGAGCAGCCAGAAAGAAAATCAAAATGTGTCTGGGGGTTGTTGGTCACTGATGTAAAAGAAATAAAAATAGAAGTTTATGATCTGAAACCTCCTCTTGCGTTTGCATGATTCAGACACTTTTTAAAATCAACATTTCTCAAATATCAACAGTGTTACCTGGGTAATCATTCAAGGATACTAATATACTGGAACAAACTCTTTTCCATCACTGCCGATGCTCTTCCCTAGATTTGTGTGTCTCTTACTAAAAGGTTGTTTATTTGGCTTTTTCTCAGAATTACTGCAAGATGTGTGCTTAGCTGTGCATGAACCCAATCAAAATATCAGTACAGCAGGGCAGAGAGGCAAACTAGAGAGAGCAGCTGTGTCCTTGGTGGTGAACAGTCTGCATTTCCCAGTAAGTGCTGGCTGGCTTGGACCAGGGTGCTGTGCCACCAGCCCCTCTCACAGGGCTGCCAAGGGCAGAGCTGGGTGCAGGGGCTCCCTGAGAGTCCCGAGGTTTGCAGTGGGTGCTGAGGAAAGTCTCTCAGACCTCAGGTAAGTAAAGTCCACCAGACAGAGGAAATGTGCTCTTATGCTCCTAGCCCTTTCATGTCTGAATTTTGCAGGTGAAATAACTATTTTACATCCTGTCTCACTCTTTCCTGTTACCATTTGCTGAAGTCATGCCCCTTATGATTGCACCATCCCAGCCTTTCTCCATTTACTCCCTTCTGCTGCAGCAGGAGGGGACACCAAGAGCAGAGGGCTTAGGGCCTGCCCCAAGCCAGCCCTGGCAGAGACACTGCCCAGGATGATCCAGCACTCTCTAGATGACATCTGGGGACGAAGAGCCCTTTCAGATGGCAGCGCCTCTCTTGCTCCTTCTGCTGAGCAGAGAATAAAGAAATGAGTATTTGTGTTCTGGCAGTTAGATCCAGCCTCAAATGGGTGGGACAGAACCTGAAGATAGTGTATGTAAACAAAATCAACAGTACCTTATGTTGGTTACATCTGTCATCCTGGCCATCAGCAAGGACACAAATAGGGAAAAAAGGCCAGTTGAAACCTGAGGAGGTTTTCCCATCTTGGCATCACTGTCACCCAAACACTCATGCAATTGAACCCCTCAGGCTGGATGGCTTAAAGGTAGGGCAAGAAGGGCGGGCAGCTATTGCAGCACAGAGCTGTAAGGGGCAGGAGGAGAGGGTGCCTGTGGGAAACTCCTCATGAAGGATCCCTCTGAAAAACCCTTCAGGCAGGGCTAAACACAGCAGAGACAGGCCAAGTCTCAGGGGTGCTCCCTCACAGTTGCTTGAGGTGGCCCAAGTGGGGCTGAGGACTGGACCAGAAAGGATGGAGAAGGCATGGAAAGATCTCTCAAGGAAGTTGAGAGTCTTGGTATACTGGGTAAAAACAGACATTCAATCAAGATAGCTTTTTTTAAGAGGGTGTTTTTGGATTGAAATACTTTAAAATATTTCTCTTCTAGAATAGAGATCTTTTAGATACAAGTTTCTGTGAAAAGGTATGGCCTTTTCATGTCTAGCTTTGCCAAATATTGATTTCTCCTTTTTGTAAGAATAAAAGCTCAGCAGCAGAAACTACTGAACTAAATATTGAATTTCTGCTAGATCCAAAACATTGGTAAATATCCTAGCAAGACAAATGAATGTCAAAGTGTTAACAGGGGCTGAGATGTTAATTGGAAAACATCTATTAGACTGTTCAGAGCTATGCATGAGAGCTGCCTGCCAGAACAGCTACCCAGCAAGCACATCTTCTGAGAAAGCAGCACTTAATACAGGTGTGGAACATTCTCCTCAAAAAAACAAAAGGAAGAGCATGCACTAGACATGACTTAGCCTCCCACCCAACTTCTGCAGGGATTAGAGGATCCAGTTTACCAGACTTTTCCCTGTATCTGAAAAAGTCTGTCTTCTGCCAGCTCCACTACCATCTGTATGATTTTGGAAAAGAGGAAAGAATGAAATCTTAGAACATTCATTTCCTGAGAAAAAGAATCTACAACCCCTGCCCCACCCCACCCTCCAAAAAAGCAGAAAAACCCAAAACCCAGAAGATATTTAAAAACCAGGAAATTCCACTAAAAAAAGTACCATAGGTCCAGAAAACTACAAGGCCATGATAATTAAATGTAAGTCATGCCCAGGCAGAATCCATCAGTAACATCAGGAAGAAAGGTGGAAATTAAAAATAAAATCAGAAGAGTCCTTGGTGGCTTAGCTGTATAAAACAACAGGGAAATCTGAAAAGTTCACCTCATGGGGGAATGTAATTAACTGAGGTGGCCCTATATCAATCAACATGAAAAATTAGGAAAAATTAAGAAAAAAATATTTTAATAGTAGAGATTAAAGCAAGGTTTAGGTTGGAAAGATAAAGAATTCTGATCTCCTAAGTAATTCAGTGTGGGAACCAGATCATCTAGGAAAGATCATACCCTGGGCTGGGTTCCTGGATGTAGGGAATAAACCTGAAGCCCTTGGGAGGCAGGGTGCTTGGGAGATGCTGATGGAGTCTTCCTGCATTAGACTTTTAAGGTCAAAACCCTGTCCTGAGTCTGTGATTGGACCTTTGCCCTCAGATACTCCTTTGTACAGCTGGGTTAACCACACCCCAGGTCTTTGGATGCAGCCCCTCAGACCGTGCAGTCTCTATGAACATTTAAATCTATCTTTGGCACTTCATTGTACCTCTCTCTTTATTTTTGCCACACCACCCGGCCAGGCCGGTCCCAGGTCACAGAGAGCACACTGTGACAATTCAGGGAGAGCACTTCAGTCCAGATTCAGGCTCAGAAAGGGCCAGAAGCCAGATTTATCTGAGGCTTTTGAAATTTGTTATATATTTACACAGTTTCAATAGTCCTTACTTTACAAGTCCATCAATACCGTTCCAAACCAGGCATCCCAATGGCTAATTTAGAAATGTAGTTTAGAGAGGCTTACAGTACCTGATAGCTTCATACAGTCAGCTGTGCCCAGAACCAAAATGCTGCAAAACCAGAAGAAAACAGTTTTTTGTTTCATGTGGATGTGGTGATCAGTGCCCTGCTGCTCTGCTGTGAGGGCAGGCTCGGGGCTTCCTGGCAAGGCAGGAAGCATCTGTGGTGGACACAGTCACACATCTGTCCAGGCAGCAGCAGGAGGGTAGCTGGCACCCAAAATCAATCAGCATTTTGGGGGTAGCCAAAGCCTTTGGAGATACCTTTGGCAAGCACACAGAGGAGCCAGCAGCTGGGGTGTGTTTGATTTCATGGGGCTGGGAAGGGTGTCTCTGCTGCCAAAGCTGTGACTGCAGGATGGTTTCAGTTTGTTTCCCCAGCAAAGCCACCCAAACCTAGCTGGGGTAGGCGGTGAAACACATCCTGAATCCTGTGGCAATAGCTGCTGATACAGTCTTGTAAACCACTTCCTTGACCTCAAATTGCAGCTGTGCACACTTTTATCTTGCTTGACGTATGGCTGGAGGTAGGATTTAATTTCCACTCTTCGTATGAAACAAGGCTATTAAGTGTTATTAGAAGCTGTTACTGTGATCTGCAGTGTCCATTCCACTAATACATTTATGTTTGCTTTCCAGCTTACCCTGAGATCTTTATTAGCCTGCAGGAGGGCTCAGCCAGCACTTCACAGAAGGTGAGCAATTTTGGAGCAAAGAGCGATGCCTGTGACTGCCACCATGCCACCCCAGCAGGGCCAGGCAAGCTGAGCTGAATCAGGCATAGGAGGGACCTCCAAACTGAGCTCACGGGGCAGCAGGCAAGGCATGGAGTTAACATGAGGTGCTCGTGCCCTTTCCTCTGAGCAACTCCCACCCCTCAGCAGTGAGCACAAACCAGAGCTAGCTAAGGACTTCTCTGTTGTGTGGGCCTCTCTTCTAGTTTTGGTGATGGTGAAACCTAAAAGTCTGCTGAATTGCACTGGCCATGTTTGGCATAAAAACGTATTTATGGCTCATATGGCTGACTAGCAAACCTCTCTGGCTATTAGCTATGGTGCTTTGCTTCCGGTTCCATCTCTCCAAGTTAAAGCTTTTGATCTGAAAGTATCTCAAATCAAGAAGGTTTTACTTGGAAACAGAGCTTGTGGGCAGGCAGAACCTTGTACCATCAATAACCACCCACACAATCCATGAATCATTTGCTTCTGCAAACTGGTATAATTTTCCTGGTGACCTATTTCTGGATGTGGTGTTGGACATTGCAGACTTTTGTCTGCATTGTCCTGCTGAACAGAGCAAGGGGTGCTGCTGTCACAGGACTGGGCAATAGAAACTCCCCCAAGAGCCTCTGTTCTTCACCTCCAAACAAGCACTGACTTCTTTACTTCACTTTTCTGCCTTTTTTTGCAGGGCTTAGATCTAGTGATGATATTGGATTTGTATTTCTTCATAGGAAGAATTTATAAAGTATTATTCCATAAAAGTGCCTGAAAAATAAGGGAATAATGAAGAGGAAAATAGGAGAAAGCAATTCCACTACAAGCTCAGGTGTTGTTTATCATGGCAGGGAAAGAGTTTCAGCTGGATAGTTTCAGCCTTCCTACTGAAAGCTTGACTTCTGCTGGCTTCAATACATCAAGCTTGCTTTCAGCTAAATGTGGGAACCACTTTCTTTAAATGAGGGAGCAAGAGAGGTTTGTGCTGCATAAGTAGCACATGCTTTTTTCTTCTGTTGAAAAGAACAAGGCCATTTCTCTTCTGACAGTGTTTAGTACTTAGCAGTGTCATAACCTGCTAAATAAACATACTTGGGATGGTCTAGGCAGCATGAGGATGAGACCTCGCACCCTGCTAGTGCCCAACTCTTCATCTAGCCTTGATTTTGAGGTCCTGCCCATCTATTGTTTGCTGGGAAATTAAACAGAGCACAGGCACAGATCTTTGGAACAACTGGCACAGAACGAGGATTACTGCATCTAAAGTATCCAATTCCTTGTGATTTTTGTAAATCTCTTACATATTATGTCTGCTAGAAAGATCTGCTAGAAATTTTGTAAATTCAACATATTGTGCTAGGCAGTCCTTTTCATGCCAATTGTCTCTTTATCTAATGAACTATCTTCATCTTTGCCTAATGAAGAAAGGATTTGCACGGCAATTAGAAAGAGCCTCATTCTCCTCACACACACTGTGCCCTTTACCAATTCCAGTGTTTTTCCATGTGAGTGTTTGTGGCAGGAGTTTGGAGTTTGGAGGTCCCTCTACGTGTCTCCAGCCACAGCACAGGACTGGAGGGGGTTGGAGTCCTGGCACCCAGGGCAACAACCCTGGGCTCTCATTCAACAGTGTCTGCAGACAGAAAAATGAGGGGAGTGGGCAAGAAACACAATAGAGGAAGCAAGTGTTTCCTTCCAGAGCAGGATTGTGAGTAAACAAGCACTGCCTACACAGGAGTTTGGGAGCTGGCAGCCAGGAGGGAAATGTCAGAGGCTCACCCAATGTGTGTACATATATGTGTGTGTATATATATATACATATATACATATATATACATATATATATATATATATGTATGTATGTAACCTAACCACTGCCTTGTGCTGCCCCACAGCCCAATGTGAGCTGTGTCGTGAGGAAGGCGTTTCACAAGCCAAGCCTCCTGTGGTACATGGACAGAGCGAGCCTGATGGAGAAGCCTGGAGGTAAAGCAACCTGTCCATGGGGAAACAGCAGGAGTGGTNTGAAGCAAAGCCTCTCCTCCATCCCTTCCCGTCTCGGCCCAGAAGGCTGTCACGGGGTCCCTGCTGCTGTTTTGTTGGTAATGCTGTAGTTATTGTTGTTTGTGTGCCTTGTTATACACACTGGTAAAGAACTGTAATTCCTATCCCCAGATCTCTGCCTGAGAGCCCTAGACTTCAGAATTATAATAATTCAGAAAGAGAGAGTTTACATTTTTCATTCCTGCCCTCCCAAGCAGACACCTGTCCTCTAAAGCAAGGCAGGAGGTGACAGATTCAGCTAGAAACTGAGCATGTATTTTACATGGACAGTGACGCTTACAAATCCACCTAAAAGTGGAAGTCTTTCTTAATTTTAGTGGTGGTTGAAACGTTAGTAAGTCACATTGAATGTTGAAAGAAGGGATTTCTATTTAAAAACATCTTAATTCTCCATCCTTTTCTTCAGCTGCTTGGCCAGGAGAGCTGTGGAAGGACTCGTGTTCAGTGCACGTTGCCGCGCTAAAAACTCCTTGCGGGCTCCTCAGGGCACATTCACGTTTTGCCTTTGAGCACAGAGTGAACCAAAAGGATTCACAGCTGCAGTAGCTACGTGTTACTCTGCTTATGGTGTGGAAAATAACATTCTGCAGAATGTTATTTTACTCTCCATTTTGCCTTCTGGCTGCTGCTGTGCTGTGTTTACCCCACCTGACTGAAGGCTGCTAACTCTGTTGAGGCACTCGGGTTCAGGAATGCTTTGTCCCACGCTGTGCTCATATAAGGAGCACTCAGACTCTGCACTGCCTCCTGGAGATGACCCTGCTGTGCCCAGGACCTGGCTGAGGTGTCCTGCTATGCAAGGCTCCATGCCAAAGCACCTCAAGAGTCCAAACACAGGCTCACACTCTTCTCTGCAGAGTTGGGCTCAACATGAGAAACAACCTCTGCTTTCCTTTTTTGATTTGTACTTCACCGACTTTTCTAAAGAGACAGGGAATTACGGTTTAGTGGACAATTTAATAGATGATGGATGTGATGGGAGTAATGCCTCATTTTCCTGTGGTTGCTTCTGACATGCTGATAACCTGAAAGGTATTTATAGGCTACAAAGATACTGCATGCAAACAAATTCATTAACATCTCGTGTTTTAGAAATATTCTGTCAAAAAAAAAATCCAAGTTATGGTTCTCAGTGTCACTATAAACTTGGCCCTTTATTGTTGTAAATTATTTGATTTCTTTTCTAATAAAGACAGCTGTGCTGCCTTCAAATTGTCACTGCTACTATATCTGAACTTTCACACCTTTAATATTTTCTATCTGATGTGTTTCCTCAGTGGTGAATTCTAACCAGTGTGCCATGTTGTGCTCTCACCAGGTGGCTATGTGCCTTCAAGAAGGTATTTGCATACAATAGGATGCATAAATTTAAATTAGTTGGGGAACACAATCCTTTGAGGATAGTCTGCATGGTAAAATGAGCTGTACAGCCCATCTAGGCTTATATCCCTTCAGAAGTGATACACTTTTCAGTTCTGACCAAGTGGTCTGTTGCTTGTCTTATTAACTCCCCTTGCCATGCACCACTCAAAGTCCCACAAGCTGTGTGTGAGGAAAGTTCTTTCACAAGCAGACTCTTCTTGCTGGAGTGATTTGCAAAAGCTGCTTCAGGTCTCTGAAGCTGCTGCCAAAGTGGCCAGGGGATGACATGGCCCTTGTGGGAGGCTTCAGTGGAATCTTAACCTTGTAGTCTCACACGAGCAGGTGTTTCCCAGCACTGGCAGTGCATTATCTTTTCCAAACAAATGCCTTTTTCAAAGCTATGGGTGCCATTATATTTTGTTATACAGTTCTTTATCTACTGTGAAACATTTTCTTACAAAACCTGGAAGACGAGCTGCACAAGAAAAAAGCCTTTAGCTGATGTTGTTGAAAATGGTGGGGAATCACAGCTTGTGTTGTATCTAGAAAAGAGAAAGCACAAAAGAAAGCAGGGCTGGCTTCATGTGTGCTCTCCTTTTCATTTTAGAAGTAATGGCTGTGTAGAGTCTTTAATTTTGGTGGAAATATTCGGCTGGTTTTCACAGGGAAGTATTTCATTAGTGTGTAATTGCTGGGTCAATGTTCCTGTTACTTGTTTTATTTTGCTCACTGGTTGCACTTTTTATACTCTGCTTTTTCAGCAACTTGTACTTTGCACAAGGAAATGCCCAACAGCTTACCCCAACAGAACATCATTGGTCAGAAACAGCATTAAATGGGAGCAGAGGACCACAGGGACCTGTGGCTGGAATGGCAGAGAAGGTCAGGGAGCTCATTCTCCTCCATTTATCCCCAAACATATCCTCTCTTTCTCTGAAACATGGCCTGTAAGTTAGGCCCTCTAATTAGAAAAAGTAATTAGAAAGTTGAAGCAGGAAGGCACCTAGGGCTGAGTTGTTCCTGGTTTTCTCCCATGCTCTGACCTGTCAGTGAGGCAATAGGGAACAAAATTCACTCAGAGCATTGAACATCTTTCAGATGGAGATGCTGCTGGTGAGAGGGAAGCGTGTGCACCTCACTATGCAGCTCCCAGACCCAGGATGGAATGGGGCTGGATTGTGTCATACACAGGGTGTAGGGGTGCACATGCAGCTGTGAGAGAGGAGGAGTACAAGGAGGAAGCAGAGGAAGAAACTCTCTTCCCTCTTGTCCCCCACATGCAGAGGAGGCAGTGCTGTGAGCAGGAGAGAGACACCAGAGCTTGGGGTGGGAAGGGGTGACAGAGGAAGCAGGGGGTCACTGAAGAAGCCCAGTGTGTGTCCCACTGCCAATTCAGTGCCCTGTCCCCTGCAAAGCTGCTCCCCCCCAGCCCATGCCACCCCCTCATCCATCCCCCCATGAGGTGCTGTGGTCAAAGGGCCCCCATGGCTGTGGAGTCATTTCTGCAGGTTTCAAAGAAGTTCAAAACCAAAACACAGAGATGAAGTGAGAGTTTCTGTGCCAAGTGCCAAGCCAACCTGAAAGGTTAGTTTACTCTTTAATGAAATTCCTGCTTCAAAGTCTCCCCATCTTTTCCACTGGGGACCTGTGCTTTCTTTAAGCAATGTTTAGAGGACACCAGTCTGCAAGGGTAATCATCCTCGCCTCTGGCAGGAACGGCTCGTGCACTAGCATTTCTAAAAAGGCTCTCTTTGTGAATAATTGAATTTGTCTCTGGAGTTCAAGATTTCTTTTTCTGTGGGACTGACTGTAGCTGTGCTTCCTCCTTAGGTACAGCTTACTATAATTGAGGCAGAAGAAACGTATTGCAGTGGAGGGTTTGTGAGCATGACACATAATAGGGTGATTGCCATGGAAAGAGTAATTTGTAGCATTTAAAATACTTCCTCCAGTGGTGAACAGATCTGCAGAAAATAAGTGAAGGATCTCCCACTGCCATCCTTTAATCCCACAGGAATGGAAACAAATTAATGCTGCATGAGATGTCCCTGTGCAGTGGGCCCCTGGCTGCAGTGCACTGTCAAGGACCCATCCTCAATGATATTCAGAGCCCATCTGTTCCTGACACCACCCAGGACTCAGGGGACTATCAACCAGGTCAAATGTTTGTCCAGCCTAAAAGAAAACACTGTGGTTCACACAGCCACTGACAAGGTGTGTCACTTTCTTGGGCACAACTTCTTTTTTTCTGAAAACCCCCAGCCTTGCAGTGATTTCTGTGTGTCTCTGGAATGGCAGGAAAAACCTGCACATCCCAGCTCTGAGACAATTATCCCTGTAGCTTCTCCACTAAGGAAAAGCCAAATACAGGTGTGTCCTCCCTCCAGCTACTCATGAAGTCCATGGTCTCGGGATATGTTTCAGTACCTGCTCGCATCCTTGCCATCCGTAACTTGGTGTGTAACATCCAACCCTGGCATTTGCAAAGCTGCATGTAAATAACTTTCCAGGAAAGGGCAGTGGGGAAAGAACCTCTCATGATAATTTGCTGTGAGCAGGACCTCAAGTCTGGCCCCAGGGAAGAGTGTCCCTCACCTCCTAGGTGAGATAAGTGGCGTGTCTCAGAATGGGTTTTGCTGTCATTTGCAGAGGCAGGACTATGCTGTTCACACACATAAATGTCAGCAGCAGGGTGACTATTTCAGGACCTAGGCTTTAGGATGGAATTGGGGCAAAACACAGCTCTGAACAGAACAAAACTCCATCATGCTGGGAGGTTTCTTTCTTGTCTGTTATTAATCACCAAGCACAGCAACAGAGCTGGGTGGGTGCATTCAGTCAACACAATAAAACATGGCAGCACTATATTTTTAGGATATTATTTTAGGGGGGGAAAGAAACTCTAAGGGCAAGATACAGTGATCTAGTAATTCAAACAAGCTGCTCAGGGATTTCTTTGTCTCTTGAATATGCCACACTGCACTTGGGCTGTCTTGTCAATTTGTGATGTGTGTTTTAGATCAATAAAAAAGCTCATTTAAGACAAAATACATTCTCTCATGGTACAGAGCTTACATGACCTGATCAGCAGGAGAAGCTAAGGTAACTGCAATCATAAATGAAAATACAAATTTTAGACTGAAGTCAGATTTTCTTGCACTCTAGGATCTGCAGATAATCTCTGTGTTCTTTGTGGTCTTCGCTCTGAAGTGGAAATCAGAACATATCTCTTTAGTATTTTTACTCCCTTCTGTGGCTCTCAATAACAATGGCTTGAATATTCTGTTCATCCTCAGCTTCAGGATTTCTTGGTCCTCTGGGACAGATCTTTCTCTGTCAGATTTCTGAATGACAAGCAGAGATTTCATCCCTGGGGAAAATTCCTTTAGCAGTAACTTGGGCATCCAGTGATTTCCTACAAGGGCTCTTAGTGTATTTCCTCAGGTAGAAGGGCAATGCAAACAAAAAAAGAACTGTGCAGCAGCATTTATTCTCCAAGATGTGTGGAGCCCTGACATAGCCCAGCCAGCACTACTAGCCCCACCTGGAGCCTATTTAAATGTGACACCAGAAGTTTGCATATGCACAAATTAGGGAAGTGGTACAGATGTTGTTAACACCTGGCAGGTCACAAAATAGGAAAATGGCCAGAGAGTCTTTCACCATTCACATTGTTCCTGGCACCTGGAGGTATGGGGAGCTGCAGTCAGGGAGTGACATGTCAGGACTCAGCTCAGGACTCCCTCCTGAGGGAGGGCACTGCTGGCAGAGAGATGTGCCTGTTTCAGGGACTGTGATGCTTTCTCTTCCCTGAGGAACAGCTGTAATAGGCTCTGTCCCAAAGCCCAATCGGTGTCCTTGGGCCCCTGAGGATGGAGCCATCAGGGGCAACAAGCATCCTGCCAAACCTCCACACCATGAAGAGCCAGCACATAACCCATATCCGCCTGAGGTGTCCTGCCCTGCTCTTTTTGCCTTGGGGGAAAGAAGCGTGATAAGCAGGACTCAAACCTGGTTCTTTCTGAAAAGCTGCCAACAAATGCAGCAGATTTGCATGACTTGCCTGCAATGAGATGCTTTGCTGGCAGGTGTGTGCCTAGCTCATGGAAATGCAGTGTGCTTCCAGGACAGCTCAGAAGGACGTGCAGGTGACCTGCAATAAAGGCAGGTGACAGGACTGCCAGGACGCTCCTCCACCTGATGTGCTGCCACTATCAAAACTGACAGCTGAAGGACAGTACAGGGATTAACCACCACACCAAGGGACATTGTCCCATGTGATATTGGAATTCATCCAACTGCAGAAAATAATTCATGTTCCTTTTAGGAAGAAAAGGGGGAGGGGGGGTGGAAAGTGAATGTAGAAACTCTTGTTTCAATCTGTTTTAATTTCTGGAGATTGTTTTTGATGTTTTGCTGTGCTTTTTAAAGCTACAGAATGTAGAGAGCATAGAAATAGGATATGTGAGACTAGAACATGAAGGAAATTAATGAAAAAGAAAATCAGCTTTTTTGTATGCTATCTACTATATATTACACAGAACATACAGAATCAGCAGGGTTGGAAGTAACCTTTGAGAACAATTCCAACAGCTAACCTGGCACCACTATAATCACCCCTAAAGCATATCCACAAAAATTGTATATTCAGACTTAGGTACCTGGCATGTTTTTGAGAGTTTGTAAATCAGTAAACTGGTTTTTGCCCTGAGTTAATCTGCAAAGACAAAGGAAAAATAATTGGTTTTCAACATGGGCGAAAATGTAGGTGATGTTTTTGTCTTAAAGGTTTCACAAGATGTACTTATTTTATCACTCTGGCAGGAAACTGAGGCTTTCAGTTTAATGAAGCATTTCTTACAAGTCATGCTGAGTGACTGCTGCACATCTGCCTGTCTGCACGGGGCAGGCCACTTCAACTTCCTCTTCTGAGGGAGCACCAAGAGAGCTACATGCTCACCAGAACTTCATCAAGCAAAGAGATGAAAGCAAGGTGGCTCTTCTCTCTCTTTTGTTTGCTCTCAGTGCCCTGTGTCACAGGTAAGAGTGTCAGGGGAACACCTTGACTCAGTTTATGATGGAGGGTGGGGGATTAATGAGTCTCACTAGGGTGAGCTGTAGCTACTGGCAATGATTTTCTATTTCCTGACAACTTTCTAATAACCCTGGTTACAAAGTGCAGATAGTAGGGATTAAATGGTGTGCTGACTGGCAGATTATTTAATTCAATATTCCTAACCCGCCAGAATAATCACTGGGATGAGCTCACTTGAAGTTAGGGTAATGTGTGCCCCTCTCAAATGGGCCAAAAGGTAAACTGCATTCAATGGGAAAATAAAAAATACCTCTCTGTCTCTGTCTTACATACCTGTGTATGCAGAGAGAAAGAATTGAAATACTTCAAGACAAGAGTAAACTGTAGAGGTGCAACCCCTTAAACAGATTTTTCCCTTCCTCTTCTGCACCTAGCCCTATGTGCCTAAAGTCTCAAGAAACAAGTTCGTCATTCAAGTAAAATACTCTGAAAAGTTGACTAAGGGGAGCTGCACCTTTGTCAGAGGGAATTTAAACCAAAAGCAGTCTGAGGAAAACAAAGAAAAAGGATGATGTTCACAAACCCCCACCCCTTCAAAATTCTGACCGTGATAAACACAAGAATAGTTATTACCAGCTAGGAAGAACAATTTTGTAGGATACCAAATTTTCCAGTTAAGAAGGGAAAAACTGCATGTATTTGACTAGCATAGAAGGATGCATCTCACAATCTGGCATAGGCTGTTCTTTCTACATCACTGAGGAAAACTGGTTCTTTAAGTAAAAATAATTCATACGTGTATTCAAAGAAAATAGAAAATAGAAAAATTCATAGAAAATCTCAAGTTCAAAGAAAGTAATAGAAGCCTCAAAGCATGCCCATGTAAGAAAGAAATGGCAATTACATAAAAATTGGAATTGGGGTTTTTGTTTACCCTGAGGATGAAATCCTCACTGAAGTCACTCAAAGGTGAAAGTGGAGGCCTCTATGCCCTTTGTGGAGATCACCTAAATGTCTGGGAATTATTCTAAGAAATTTCACTTGGAGCACAGGTATGCACTAATGGACACTATTTGGTTTTGAAAAATAAAGTTTATATAAAGTGAGATTATTTATATTGAGAAGCTAGCAAAAAGTTAAGAACACTATTGCACAAAATGTTTTCAGTTAAAATAATCTAATGTGCTAGGCTACTAAGAAATAATGCAAATTAAAATGTTGTTTCTACATATATAACTTTTTCAACTTAATATAAATTCCTTAAGTGATCTTTCAGAGGCATTCTTTATATGATCCTTAGACCTAAGGCAGCATCAGCATGAATATGAGGAAAAAAAAATGCTGTGTGTCTTTTGTTTGATAATAAATCTTTGTAAGTCTTAGTCTTTGATTGCAAGATTTCTAATTGATTTTTCCTTAACTTTTACTGATGCAAAACTTGTGGTGAAATCAGAGGACGTTTCCTATAATAACAGTCTCCTTGGACTAACAAAAATAGTTTTAGTAATTTTTCTCACAGCACAAGGCTGTGAGACTTGTCATTCAGGTTTATTTTTATTTACCCTCTTGTATCATCACATTTTTTAGAATAAAAGATGAGCAGAACACATGCAGCAATGAAGCAGCAGAGATTGATGTTGGCCATGGCCATTCAGTAGCTTTGCTCTGCACACATCTGATCTCCAGTGTCCATGTCACCCGTCAGTGGACAGGTAGAGCCAGCTCTGTGGGGATGTGTCACTCTGCCCTTGTGCCTTGACCCTGTCCAGCCAGAGCTGAGGGTGCTCAGGGTCCCTGCCTGGCTCCTGGCTGAGCTGGGGGAGTGTGGGGCACACTGCAGCACAGCTGAGGGTGCCCAAGTCCTGGTGGGGCACCCCCTGGCTCAGGTGCCCCAGAGCTGTGTAGCACACACGGCACAGCAAATGTCAAAGCAAAGGAATTGGTACCTGGCTTTTTCAAGTAAGGAAGGTGAGCAGTGGGCACAAGTCTGTACCTAAGGACAACTGCACAATTAATTTTATTCTGTGGACCCACATGTCCTTTTGGAAAAGGGACTTTTTGTGTATGGCTCTATGGGAGTGATTGATTACTCGTCTCACTGCAACAACCCCCTCCATAAATTATTCATCTCCTTGAGTTTGTCAGTGCCCTGCATTCAGGGGTTTGGGGACTGCAAGACTCCTACTCATAGGAGGGAGAAAGGGATATAAATCAACTCTACTACAACAGCAGCAAAACCAAGTGGTACAGGCTCCTGCTGAAAGCCCCTCATTTCATCGATCCATTACTCCTTTATATGGCACACTACGGACTGCCACCTGCTTTATGGAATTAATTGAGGAAGAAACCACACACAGCAGAGCAGCTTGCTCTGACATGGAGACAGGCACTCATTTAGGACATGCAGGAGCTGTTTAATAACACAGAGAACAGCTTTCTCTGCTGAAGCTACAAAGGCAATGGGCAAGGGATGGTGCAGGGAATTAGCCAGTGGGAATAGCTTATTTGTTCTTGCAAAAAGAACTGGGGAATAACTGTGCCCAGCTTCTGCTTTATTTGTATTGCTTGAAAGATTTTCATTTCCACAGAGGCCCTCAGAGCTCTCATTTCTCTCCCACGTGTGACAGAACCTCCCTGGCCTCTTCCAGACACACATGCATTTGCTCTCCCAGTTTTCTCTCTGCAGTCTGTACTGGTAGAGATTTACTCTAAAGCTTCTTGCCTGTGGTTACAGTAGTAGGGTCTTCATAGTTGTCTATGGCACCAAATCATGTCAAAGATGGACCAGGAAAAGCTTTGTTTAAACATTACTTGCACTGAAAATGATCCTGTTTGTTTTTAAGGCCAGCCTGCAGATGTCATTCCCCAGAGGGAAGTGGTCCATGCTCTGCCAGGTGCTGACGTGACCCTGCTGTGCGTGTTCCCAAAACCGCCCACCACCCACATCATACAGACACAATGGTCCAAGACTGATGGCAGCCCATCTACCAAAATAGCTGTATTTCACCCCACCTATGGCACCCATTACTTCACGTTTTCTGAGGCTCCTTACAACTTCTCTGTGTCCTTCAGCACAAGGAGGTGCTGCAGTGGGGATGACACAGTGTCCCTCTGTTCCACCAATCCAAATGCCACCTCTGAATGCAATTGGTGGGCTCTGCATCTGGAAAATGTTACTGTGTCCCTTAGTGGGCAGTACGAATGCACTTTTGCTACTTACCCATATGGGACAAAGGCTGCGAAAATTCAACTTACTGTCAAGGCAGAAGGTAAGTGATTGCAAATGAGATTTTGCTGTTTCCTGACGGGGTGGGGGAAAGTATCAGGACAGATGAACACTTCTTGGTTGGTGATGGTGACTTGTTTGGGATTTACAGTGGTGCCACTGAATGTTGCTTATACAGTTTACTATTTATCTAGCTGTTTATTTATATCTCTAGTTGTTTTATCCAACTCGTGATTAGGAAAACTTATTTCTTTGGTGGAGTAAAAAGTTACATAGTAAAATGAAAAAAAGGTGGTGAGGTGGCAGTTTCTGCATTTTCATTTTGGAGAAACGTTGTGAAGGAGACTGGATGAGCAGGTCAGGGTATGGTGGGACTAAGGATGTTGGATCTTCAAACCATGTTGGATCTTCAAACTACGTTGTGCTGCTGCTGTGGGTGTGCAGGACTGGGCACCAGTGAAAGAGAAAACACCCTTGTCTGATGGGGGCTGAGGGCTGGCATCTGCAGGGCATGCTGAGTGTTAGCTCCATGGAAGGATGTGTATCCCCACCACCAAAAATACACTGGAGCAAAGCAGGGAATTGCTCAGGAGAATCACAGGAATGGAGATTTGACTGCTTGTCAGGCAGAAGGAAGCTGGAAAGCAGCACGACTGCTCTCTGTAAGTAAGCCTCAGGGGAGAGTGTGAACTCCAGGGAGGATATTTAAATTATCCTGGTAAAGGAACAAATTTATTTAAATCAGATGAGAATGGATTTGACAACAAATTAAACAACAGTGGCAACTGTCAGTGTAGCAACTTTGGGCACAGCTATTTAGTGTCAGCAGCAAGGGCAAAAGCCCAAACTGCTGGGAAGATGGAACTTGGTGGGGGTGTTGAGCAAGCTTGTTGCTGTGCACATGGAGAACTGGATTTGATAACCCCAGAAACCTCTTTCTGACCCAGGTTTCTGCTAACAACTCAAGGAGGATTAAAGTAAATGCAACAAGCCTGGCACTGTTTCAGTTCAGAGCTGCAAGGCCAACATGCTGTAGACACAGCAGGCGTTCAAGTGTTAGGAGCAGGATGGGTGCAGGTTATTTTAGGGGTATTTTGGTGTGCTCCCACTGCCCTTTCACCTACATCCCAAGGCCAGACTGGTAGTTCCCACGCTGGACCATGTTGCTTCTGTAGCAAGAGGAGGTCTTGTGTAAGACTCATACTCAGGGATGTTTAACACTGATGGATCCTGCATGGAAGTGGCTCCAAGCATTTTTCTTGGTTCTGTTATCCTGGAGACTCACCTGGGACAAGCCTGCAGCAGCTGCCTGCCCTGATGGGCTCACAGAGGCAAAGTGAGAGCCAGCACCTCTGCCCAGCTCACAGAGGATGGGTGTGTTTAAACAGTACACACTGAGTAATTGTGCCAAAGCTGAAGCTGTCACTCTGCAGCAGAAGGGGACGTGCTGTGGTAGGCTGCCCTTTTGGAGTTTTCCTGTGCTCCACAGGACAGAGGGATCAAGGGGAGTGCAGTGAGGTACAAACCATGCTAGTAACCCTATGAAACCCTCCCACACTTCTGTTCTTCATGCAAAGTTTCTCTGTCTCTTGCTTAGTGCAGTAACTGTGCTAATCAAGATGTGCTAATCATTGCTTCTTTTCTCTTGCCCTTAGTTGATACAGACAGGTTTGATGCTGTTATGGCTGTCTAGAGTGTGGGCAGCTCTTGTTCATATCAGCATCACTGGGGCTTTTTTCAGTAACTATGAGATGTAGCAAGCTGTGCTACTGATGAATGCTTGCTAGAGAGAATTAAAAGATGGAGTTTGCTACCTTTTGCAGGTTTGTGTTTTAAGGTAAACATTTCTTTTGTAATGAACCACTTTGACTCAAAAGAAGGCAAAAAAACTTAATCCAGCCTGTGAGTGGGATGGATAAAGGTGCAGTTGATGAAGTACAGTTTTCATTTACATCAAAGTGAAGTGAATCCAGATGCACTCAACTTGAAAAAAGCTCACAGAGCAGCAGGCCTTCATAGGACAGACAGACAGACACACACACACACACACACACAGGACTTTATCCAACTGTTAAAGGAGAGGGGAGTCAGAGATGAGAGGGGGAAGCAAGCAGCTGGGACATGTGACTGTGAGAGTAGGCAGAAGCTGTTTCCAGACTGAACTCTTGGGATGATTACTCATCTCCAGGCTTGTTGTATTCTGCACAGAACTTCTGCATGGTGGTTTGTCCCAGAAAAATCTTCTGTACAGTTTTGTTCCTGGACAAACTATAGATTTGCTTTGTCCTTTCTTTATCCTCTCTGTCCTGTCCAGTACCATTAGGGCTTCTGTACTTTGTGTCCTGCTGTGAGAGCTGGCTCCTCAGGTTTTTCACTCTCAGGGACAGTGGAGGGAAGCTGCTTCTGCTGCTGGCTGTCCTGGGAACAGCTCAGGGCACTGCCTTTCTTCATGTCTCTGTGGCACACAGGCTGTGTGCTGGCACCACTGCTCTGTGCTTGGGTGCCAGGTACAAAGGAAGTTACAGTCACCAGAAAGTCCCCACTGACAAAACACATGGCAGTCTGGGAGAGCTGGATATTCACACACCCCTCAAGACAGGAAATAAATGAAATACATATCTGTTCTATCCCAACATGCAAGCCAGAGCTACCAGGGGAGCAGAGGTGAGGAGTTTCACTGTGGTGTGTGCTGGTGCCTTGGCTCCAAGGAAGAGGGAAGGCAGGTCTGAGGACAGGGAGGATGGCAGGATGTGTCACAAACAGGATGGGGTCAGAGAGGTCAGTGCTGACCACGGCACTCAGCATCTCCCACCCATTACCACTGCTCTTCCTGCTTAAATACACACTCACAGACCCAATATCTGGACCACAGCAGTGCACTGTTCACTGCACCACTCTGCCCCGCCTCCACAGCTGGATGGAGGCCTGGATTGAGCATGGGTAGGGTAGGAGATGGTGAAATGGCTTTTGAAATGGATGAGAGAGAAAAGAGTGACAAGTTTTCTAGTAGTGGGCAGGTTGGAGAATAACAAAAGGAGCACTTACACTGAAAAACAGGGTTAATCTTAACCTGACATAGCTGAATAGCTTGCTTAGTGAAAAGAAGGTCTGCAGATATCTTCAGAGAAAAGGAAATAGAGGTGCACAAAATTGATGTGAAGGTTTATTGCCACAGAAAAAAAAATTGTAAGATAAAAATTGAAGCTTCAAATAATTCTCAGCTCTGAAAGGAGACATCGTGATCCTGCAGTTAAGAAAAGCTTTTTCAAGAATTGTCAAAAAATTCAGGTAATGCTGTGAATTGAGTCATGAAACTGCAACGAGAATCAGATTCAGGGCTTTCACTTAAAAAATGTGTCTAGGGGTAATGGTTAAAAATCACAGCTCCCTTCTAAATCAAAAAGTGCCTGTTCCTTGTGATGCCTGGAGAAGGCTGACCTAGAACAGAGGCTAGGCAGAGTGAAGACTAAAGTAGGTATTTATGGAAAGGCCTTAAAGGATGCACCTTGGGCAGTACAAGAGCCTGGCCAGGGCTACACCCAAGAGGGACCTAAAAATGGTCACAAAATGGACCACTGGTCATGAGGTCTCACATTTTTATAAGTTTTGGTGCATCTGCATATCAGGGTTAATTATCCAATCACTGCTTCAGGTTATGAAGTCCCATTGTTCTTGTTTTCTCTCTTCAGTCCACTGTTGTTTATGCTTTTGGGCCTGAAACTTGTAACAATTGTCCTTGGTATCAAATTGGAAAAGGAATTGTTTTGTCTATCTACTCTGTGAAGGGAGCTCCCTAACACTTAACATGAAGTTTAAAATTACACACCTAGGCACCACAGAATATGAAAAATATAAAAGCTAAAAGTTAATACATCACTTGAGTAGAAGACTAGTCAGCATTGGTTTTCAAAGCACAACGAACATCATGTTTCTGATTTTCCTTCTTGGGTTTTGTTGTTGTTACTGTTGTTCCAATAACAAAAGAGGAGAGGCATTACCAGAAGAAAGTGTGGTTAAAGCAGACTTTAGAAATTCTATGCCTTGAGGACACAACCTTAGAAAATTTGTCCACTTATCCTTTGAAATGGCTAGTGGTGAGTATTTTTCATCTCAGATATAAAGTTCAGAAAGAACTACAGGGTATTTTTGCAGATTGAAATGAAAATGTTCTACTCTACTGTGTCCTGCCTGCAGAATCTGCTAAAAAACTTATCAGTCATATTGGACTGTGATAATAAAGGGGAAAAGTATAAACATAGGGTTTCAAAATATGCACTGCAAATAACAGATGATAAAGATACAAAGAGGAAAAATTCCATCTTAATTGCTTTGAATTTTTCAGGAGCACATACAGAGCAGGTCTAGGGATAGTGGTTAATATAATAAAACTAAAATATTTCTTGTATTGGATTTCCAGCAAGTTTTTCTGTAGTGAAGCTTCAGTATCTGAAAAATACATGGTTACTGTGTAGGGTAGTGAGATATCAGGCTGCTTTGACATAGAAAAGAAAGGTACTGGCTAGTGTTTTTGGTTTTGTGAACCTCTGTGTCACAGATGCCACAGAAGACATGCAAACCCAGTTATGAAGGTAACCACATGAAAAACTATTTTTAAGTAATTTTCTGTCAGATATGAAGCTTGCTGTATTTTTGTTCTTTATCTCACTTTCTGGATAAATATTTATATTCATGTTCTAACATAACCTTTTAGCATTAATTTCAGTGTGTAGAGATAAGTATCAGTGAGCAGTGTCCTTGAGCTTTGCCTGCTCATTTATATATGTTGTCACTGAAAAGCTGTAACTGTTGAGGATTTCCTTAAAGGTGACTTTCAAATAGTTTAGGTTTTTAACCTTCTGCCCTGGTTCATTATCTATTTAGATCTCCCTCATGAGGGTCATTCTTAATTAATAAAATTTTAAATATTTTTGTAGGAAACACCCTTACCTTTACTACATCAGTTTTGATGGTTCACTCCACAAAGTAGCAGAGGAAAGGGGAAAAAAACCAAAAATACCCCAACACATAAACCAACACAATGAT